AACTCGACTCTGGGCCGTCGTCGGATGGCAGGGCCGGCGCCGCGGCAAGTCTGGTCGGGGCGGCCAGGTCACGGCGCCACTTCGGCGCCTTGAGCAGGCAGGTTTGGAGCGCATCGGCGCTGCCCTACAGCCGCCAGTCCTGCAGCGGGTCGGGCACAACAACGGGGTCGCCCACGCCGGCGTCGGCGTGGAATTTGGCCAGCTGCCGCTCGGGCACAGGGCAGGCGACGACGACGTCGATGTTGTCGAGGTCGAAACGCAAGTGGCACAGTGGTTCTGCGGTGGCGCGCGTAGATACGGCCGCCAAGGTCTTCTCACGAATCACGCATGTTCGGTCTCGTCGTTGGCCACGTTGCGCGGCTGCAGATAAGGGGCGCCTGCAGCGCGTCGAGGGCGGCCGCCCGCCGCTGCTGCCGCTGCAGGGCGAACGTCCTCGACTGCGTCCACGACTGTCGCCCCGCCGAAGGAGAACGGGACCGTCGCGGGGACCGCCTGCGGCCCCCCCGACTCCTGCAGCCCCGACGCCCCCCGCGCGGGGAGCATCGACTGCCCCCCGCACGTCCGGGGGAGGACGTCCTGTTACGGCCGCCCTGACCGCAGGCGCGGCTAGGGCTCGCTTCGGGGGTCTCGGCGTCAGACGCAATGCGGGCGCAAGGGCAGCTGTCGCCCAGCACGCAGCGCTTGCCTGTGCCAGCCAAGAAGCTGCATTTTGCAACGCGAGGTCATTTGCACCGGTCTCGTCGCGGGCAGGCACCGTGGTTCGCGAAAAAAACAGAAGTTCCCGGCACCTCCGCGTTTGGGCGGCCGTTGCGCGCCTCGCCCCGTGGAGGGTTAGTCATCGCGGGCACCATGCCAGCCTGCGACGCGCGTCTAGGAGGTCGCGGCGTGGAACGATTGCCAGAGCCAGCGCGTAGCCATATGGACCGTTCGCCGTTTTGGCAACGTCCTGCCTTGCATGCCGCGCACACGGCCAATTCGTGACGAGTCGCCTCGTTGTTGAGGTTGCGCCGATTACGTTCGAGTCGGCGCATCTCGACGTTGGCCCAGACACGTGCTCGTAGTCAGTCGCATGTGCGATTGGAGCCGCCCATCTTCATCTTGCTGCAATCGCGCGTGTTTTGCTTCATCCACGGGCGCCTGCGAATCTGAGCTCGGAACAATGCCTCGAGTATCTCATGCCCGGTGGATCACGGCATCCCAAAGGTAAATTGTCTCAGTCCACGACAGGCCGTTGGACGTCGTCTCTCGCATGCGGACGAGCTGGAAACGTTCGAAGTCGCGCACGGCGTCGTCGACTTCCGTGACCTCGTAAGATTGCAAGATAGAATGTCTGCCTATCAGCACGCGGCCGGCTTCGCGCCCCTGAGCTCTGAGGCCCCTCATGCGGTGACGGAGCTAAGTAATATGAACAGCCGAAAGGCCAGCGGCGAGCTTGCAATCGACACTCTCGAAGTCGCCACTGCCCCGAAGGCCTTCGAATGTAGAATCGGGGCGTTCAGCAACGCAGAGGAAGGTGCATGCCCTAGCAGGACGTCCCGACGCGCTGCCGAAGTTCCCCCTGGCCATGTCTGCCAATCTCGCGACTGAGCAACGCGCGGCAGTTGAGGCGCCCGAACAGCATCTGAATCCTTAAACAGGGCAGTGCCAGCAAGAGAACAGAGCGAAAGATTATGCGACGGCATTGGCGGCGTCGGCGAGGGCGCGCGCAGTGGAGATACGCGACGCGTCTGCGTTGAGGCTGCTGCAGAGGCAGCCCCTGGCGACGTACGTCGCGGTTGTCCTGCGCGGATGTTTCCGTCGGCGAGGGCCGGGGCACTGTCGGCGGTGGGTTCTGGAGGCTGCGAAAGGACATGGATCTTGGCGTCGCTAACGCGCGAGCCGTCAAGGTGGCTTCAGTGGTCGTGAAATCGTTCCGCAACTGCTCGACAATGTCGGAGACCGCCCACCTCGTCGTTGGCGTCATACGCTCGCTGGGAATACTTACCCAGCCGATGCCCCATGTCCTGGCATCGTCGGTCGCGTACTTCTCGCTCTAATTCCAAACGGGCGAGCAGCGCCTCGCCCCGCGCCTTCCCGGCAACTGCACGCGGTCTGCAGCCCCCCCTACGTCGGTCATCTCGGCGGCGAGGGGGGCGAAATCGCACGCCGAAGTCGGGGCGCCCGGCTGCGCGGTCTCGGCCCGCACAACATGCAACTCAGCCAGCGCAGCCTGCACATCAGGCAACTGCTGCTCGGCCACGGAGACCCGGTTCCCAAACGCCGGCACGCGCCCCTCCGATGCATCAAGACGTCGAGCGACAACCATCTCGGCAGCACAGCTCGCCGCGCAACTCGGACGTGGATGTGGCACTCGCGGAGCGGAGGTTGGCAGCGCCCACGTCGACGTGATCGCGAAGCGCGACGAGGTCATCGCTGAGCTGTTCACCCGTAGCCCCTTGCACCTAAGTGGCAGGAACCCGTCGCAATGTCAGGATCTCGTCGCGTAGGGCCCTGACAGCGGCAGCGCCCGCATCCCTGACGCTCACGAGCTGCGCCTCCATGGCGAGGAGGTAGTCGCGGAGCGTCTGGATTGCAGCGGAGTCGGCACCTCGGCGCGGTTCCACACGGTCAAATTGACTTTGGACCTCGTTGAGGATCGATCGATCCTTAGCGATCTGAGTGTCGACCAGGGCAAGAGCATGCTGGATCTCTTGCCTCAAGTACGCTGCGTGTGTCGCGTGATCGGCGACTGTGGCAGCAAGACGCGACAACTGTTGGGACGTGTAAGTTTCAACCTGGTCTCTGAGCTCAGCCGATTCATTGGCGGAGGGCGATGCGTGTGGCGGCATGTCGCGCCGCGTAGAATTCGGCCGCGAGCGCCTCTGTGACGGGCTGCGGACGGTGTCCCTATGCTGAAACTGGAGATGATATCGATCGGGGACTCTTCGCTGCGAAGTCGTTCCACTATGATCCACGATAGCTCGCACGCGTTCAGACACGGAAACCGAAGCGGGGCTCGAAGGACCTCTGGTGTCCCAGAGGCGGCGTCGCGCGGAAGCGCTCGGGGGAGACGTTTCGTTCGCGCCACCGCGGGTGTTCCCACCGGCGAAGGTTGGAGGAGAAGGCGCGGATGTTCCCACCAGCGAGGGTTCTGAACGAATGTTGGCTTCAGGTGACTGAACAGTCGACTGAAAGCTAAGTTCAAACTATGGGTTGCAAAATTGCGCCAAAAATTGAATACTGACGAGAATTCATGTATGCCTGCTGCGCATGCCGAAGCGCTGCTTCGAGGCGTGCATCGGCGCTGCCTTCTCCTCGTACGGGGAAATTGCGGTATCACTCCCTGTCCCACAGCCCTCGCCGCGTGGTCGCGCCGCCCACGCACCGTCGAAGAGCCGCCGCGCATAGAGGCACTGGTCCCCGCGGAATCCAGCGCTATGCGCGAGGCTCAAAGGCGGCGCGGGGTCGCAACGGAGAGCGTAATGGAATAGGCTGATAACCTGTGAACGGAGGTTAACGACCAATGGGTCGAACCTAACTTGTGGCCCGTAGGCAGACGACGATAAGGAGAAAAGATGAAACTATTTTGTCCATGCGCCCGTCGGAACAAGGGCGCTCAAGATGTCCAATACCTGAGCCGAGAGGACAGCGGGATAGATGGACAGAAAAGAAAATGAGAGGTCTTCACACACACACACACACACACACACACACACACACACAAACACACACACACACACACACACACACACACACACACACGCTGCTTCGGCAGCGGAGCGCCCACTGACCCAGAGCGGCCCTCCGAGCGGGATCGGGTCTTGGCGGCGGCGGTGCTGGGGGGAGGCACCGATGGCGTGCTGGGACCTGGGCGCGTCCAGGGCGGGGGCGGGGCTACTGCTGGCACTGGGTGGCGCGCCCCGTGCAGCCTGGGGCCAGCCGGCTCTTTGGGCCGGCCGCGGGTCTTGGACGCGGCCTTCCAGGTCCACTTGGAGGGCCCTATGGGGCACGGGGCCCATCGCGGCCATGGTCGCGGCCGCCGGTAGCCGCGAGGCTAGCGCTCACATCAGGCAGATCGGTTTCCCTGGAGCGGGAGGCGCGCTGCCGTCGCGGGAGCGGGCAAGCGGGGGTGGGGGCGGGCGCACCTGGCGAGGCGCACGTCGCCCTGGAGGCGCTCAAAGTGTGCCGGGCGACCAGAACGGTCTCGTTAAGCGAGGTGCCCAGACTCCCCACGCCGCGCGGGCGTGGCCTCGCGCGAGGTGGGGTCGCCGATGGCGTTTTGGAAGCGCCAGGAGATGGGCCAGCCGTCCTCCCAGGCCACGCGGCACATTCCGCAATAGCAACGCAGGGCAATGCTAAGCACGGCGTAGCAATGCGAAGCAAGGCCAAGCAACACAAAGCAAAACAAAATATAGCAATGCAACGCACAGCAATGCAGGGCAAGGCCAGGCAACACAATGATTTGCTCTACAATGCAAAACAATTCAGAGGAACGAAGAGAACCGCAAAACAATGCAACGCAAGGCAACGCAACGCGAGGGTAACAGCGAAGCAACGGCGACGGGCGGTGACGAGGCGGCGACGGGGCGGCGACGGCCGGCACGGAGCCGCCAGAACGACACACAGGCCCAGATCTGCAAACCAGAAGTAGGAACCCCTAAGTGCAAGCGATGCTTGGAGAAAAACAACACAAGTGGAAGGGATAGGTGGGTGGGTGGGTGGGAGGGGTACGAGGTCAGATGTGGCACGAGCGCACCTACCTTGCCCCCCTCCCCCCCTCCCCGACCCTCCGCTCCTCATGCCCCCCTCCCTCCCATCCCTCCTCTCCCCTCCCTCCCCTCCCCTCCCCCCACCCCTCTGCCCCCTGCACCCCCAATCCTCTCTTGCCACCCCTCACGTCCCCTCCCCTCTTATCCTTCCCCCCATCCTTCCCTCCTCCAGCTGTCACCCCCCCCCGCTCCTCCCCGCTCCCTCTGGCGGCCTGGCCGACGCGTTGCCGCTCGCCGACCGGAGCTCGCCGCTCAGGAGGGAAAGGTCCTCGGGCCGGCTCGGGCCTCTCCAGGAGGGGGCAGCAAGCGCAGGCGGGCCCGCGCTGACTGTCTACCAAACCACCCCAAACCCAACCCGAAGACCCGAATTTCGCGTTGGGGGGGGTATGGGCTCCATGTGTGTGTGTGTTTTTCGATGTTCCCCGACCCCCCCCCCCACTGGAGATGGAGGGCAAATGGAGGCCTTCGGGTTGGGTTGGGGTGGTCTGGTGGGTGGTGACGGGCTGCCTCGAACCGCGAGACTCGATCGGTCTGGAAGCGGGCTGGGCCGCGCCCGATATCGTCGCGCGGAACCGGGATCGCGCCTCGGGGGCTCCTCCCCTGCAGGCCCGACGGAGGCGAGGAAGCGGCTCGCGTCGGAGCGGATCGGCGCGACCTCGGCGCCGAAGCCCCGGGGAGCGGGTCGAATCGGGCTCGGACCGCGAGCGGCCCTGGCAGGCAGCCGAACTCTGTCTTCGCGTCCATCAGAACGTCCGCAGGCCGAGACTGCCAGCGCCGGCAACTCGGGAGCGCGGCACGGGCCTGCCTCCCAGCGACGAGCCTCCCGAGGGGCCTAGTGGCGAGGCGGAGAGAACAAGAAAAAGCGGCATCACCTGTCTGTATCAAAGAGGAGCATGGAGCGCGACCACAACACTTCACACGGCTCGGCCCCAACCGCTGCGCGAATCAAAAAGTCGTAGGCGAACCGGGATCCCGAAGCAAGAAAAACCGCATACACCGAGAATTTCGGAGCTCCGCTCGGATTCCTGGCACCGGCCCTGGATCCCGCTCCCTGGCGCGCGGAGCGGGCCAGGTCGGCGCCGCTAGGAGGGGGGGGGGGTCCAGCGCCGATCCAGGAAATCCGCGGCGAGCTCCGAAAGTTTATGTCAATGCCGTTGCCTCGTCTCCAAGGCAAGGCACACACGGCTTGGTGGTGACATCCGAACCCTACCCCACCAACCATCGTTCCTCCTGCATCGATGGGAGGTGGGGGTAGGGTTCGGATTTCGCTACGCGTTCGACGATTTCCGGACCGTACCCCCGCCGCCCATCGACGTGCCTGAATCATGGATCGGCGAGGGTAAGGGCTCGGGTTTCGCTGTCGAAGAAGGTGGGAGGAGGGACGATGGCAAAGGGGCAGGACGGACGAGGACGAAGGGGGAGAAGGGACGCGGAGGAGCAGGCAACCAGACGTGAACACTACCCCTGCAGCGGCCCGCTGTCTCTCGAGCTCTCCTCGCGATGCACGCAGCACGCACACTTCAGCAACCCGCCTGCTCGACCTGGCCACCTGGGCCCGCCTTCCCGACCCGCCCGTTAGGATCTACCCGCCGATCTGCCCGCTTGGTTCTGCTACATGTTTTCTGCTCCTGGCCTCCCTCCTGCTCATTCCGTGCTCCATCCGTTTCCCTGCCCCTTCCATCCGTCGTCTCTTACCCTGTTCCCGGGGCTGCACCAATCACACTCGGCAGGTAAGGAACATATACCCTAAAGGGGGTACGATCGAACACGAAGAGGGCGGGTACCGAGGACTTCGGGTATACGTGTTGAATGGCACGCGAGCAGGTCAGAGCGAACAGTCTTACAGTGGCTGTTGTTGCTGTTGTTGTTGCTGTTGTTGTTGCTGTTGTTGATGCTGTTTTTGTTGCTGATGTTACATTGTTATGTTTGTTAATTTCCTTATGTTTGTCTTCGTTCACTCTTCTGATTCGTTCGCGGAAGCTCCTTCGTGGCGAATCTCTGGAGAGCTTCGCGGAAGTATTGTTAGGGCTCCTTGGGAGCCTCTGGAGACGGACGTGGCGCCTTTCGGCGGCCAATAGGGAGGTCATCGAGCCACCATACCGGGAGTCGTGGTTCGAGATCACGTGTTGCATTATTGGGGAAGTTGTCTTGCAGACAAATTGGGGCCATGGTGAGGCCGCCCGTGGGCAGTTTGGGGGCCGTCTTGGGCCCTTATGGGGCCCTCTTGGGCTGTCAGGAAGCCCGTCTGGCTTGTCTTAGAGCGAGTTCTGTGTCTTTCCAGCGATCTCGGACGCTTGGAAGCCTGAATGGGCGAGCATCCGAGCATTTAAGAAACCACTGGAAAATCAATGTTTTTGCAAGTTTCGAGCGCCTCTTCCAGGTGACATTCGGGCCGTGTTCGGGCGTCCAGCGGGGGTCTGGGCCGCTTGATGCCATCTTCGATCGTTTTGGGAGGCTCTTGGGCCTTGTGCCGGTTGTTTGCCATCATTTTGAACCAGTCATGGGGCCGCCTGTGGGCAATTTGGGGGCCGGCCGTCTTGGGCCATCATGTGACCGCGTTGGAGTGACAGGAAGCGCGTTTGGCTCGTCCTGGAGCGCTTTCCGGTACCTTTCCAGCGTTCTCGGACGCTTGGAGGCCTGAATGGGCGAGTATCCGAAAATCATATAAAACAATAAAGCGTCAACGTTTTTCCAAATTTCGAGCGCCTCTTCCAGGTGACACTCGGGCCGTGTTCGGGCGTCCAGCGGGGGTCTGGGCCGCTTGATGCTATCTTCGATCATTTTGGGAATCTCTTGGGCCTTGTGCCGGCTGTTTTGCAATCATTTTGGGCCAGTCATGGGGCTGCCTATGGGCAGTTTGGCGGCAATCTTGGGCCCTCATGTGACCGTGTTGGGGTGTCTGGAGGCCCGCTTGCACCGTCTCGGAGTGGACTTCAATGGTTCTCCAGCGTTCTCGGACGCTTGGAGACCCGAGTGAGCGAGCATCCGAACATCAAACGAAAAAGAATGCAAGATCAATGTTTTTTTAAGGTCGAACGCCTCGTGGGGGTGACACTCGAGCCGTCTTCGGGCGTCTGGCGGGGGTCAAGGGCAACGTGAAACCATCTTCGACCGCCTTGGGCGTCTCATAGGCTTTCCGCCGACCGTCTTGGGACTGCCACCCGCCTGTGTGCACGCCTTGGCAGGGATTGCTAGAGCGCCCCCAGTGCCAGGGAGGGCGTCAGGCCAGCCCGAAAAGTCCCAAATTCGTTCAGAGGGGGGGGGGGGGGGGGCGAGGTGGTGGGCCTTTTCCGGGGTCCCTGGCCGTACAAAAATATATGAATCGGAATATATGTTTATATATAAAAATAAATAAATGAATATATATATATATATATGTATATATATATATGTACCCTACCCTACCCTAAGGGCAAAGGGGGCACGATCAAAGACGAAGAAGATGGGTATCGAGGGCTTGGGATATACGTGTTGAATGGCCCGCGAGCAGATAAAAGCGACCAGCATCAAAATGATTGTTGTTGTGGTTGTTGTGGTTGTGGTTGCTGTGGTTGTTGTTGCTGTTGGTGTTGTTGTTGATCTTGCTGTTGCCGTTGCTGTTGCTGTTGTTGTTGCTGTTGAATCTTCGTTTCTATAGAACAATTATTGTTGCTCCCCCTCCAGTGATACTGTAATTCTATTTCAATTGAAGTGCCCCCCTCGCTTCCCCTTCCAGGGAAAGCGAAGTGTCACCAAACTGGGCGGTTGGGGCCCGAATTCCATCAACAAAGGTTCCCGCTTCATACTGCCTCACAATGTATTCTCAAATCGCGCTCTCGCGCGGGATGTCCTCACAACTAATAGAAGAATCGTGCTCTCGCGTGGAACTTCCGCGCAGTGTAGTAAAACGCAGCGCCCTCGACACCCAGGAATCCCGCTCTCGCTCTGGCTTTTCTCACGATTCACTTGGGAATCGCGCTACCGCTCGAGCTCTCCTCGCGATTCATGCACAACGCACGCTTCAGCAACACGCCTGCCCGACCTGGCCGTCTGGACCCGCCTTCCCGACCTGCCTGTTAGGGTCTATCCGCCCGATGAGCCCGTCTGGTTCTGCTACGCGAATTCTGCTCTTAGCCCCCTCTCCTGCCAATCCTGTGCTCCATCCGTCTCCCTCCCCCTTCCATCCGTGCTCTTCTCCCCTGTTGCAGGGGCTGCACTGAGCACACGCGGCAGGTAGGGAAGATATACCCCGAATGGGGGTACGATCGAGGACGACGAGGTCGGGTACCGAGGGTTTGGGATATACTTGCTGAATGGCACGCGAGCACGTAAAAGCGAACAATACTAAAATGATTGCTGCTGTTCTTGTAAGCCGTGACCCAAGAACAATTCTTTAAATGATTGTTGCTGTTGCTGTAAGCCGTGACCTGACAACCCGCTTTGATGACACCAAGCTTTCCCTGATCACAAAAGACGCTACCCTGGAAAACCCGAGGGTTGGGGGAGAGCGCGGGGAGCGCTGCACCGCTTGCACCGCGCGAGCCGCGCGCTCGACTGCCGGGTCGCTCAGCGCGTCCAGCGGGACGCGCAACAGGATGCAGACTAATCTGACGTGCGAAATATAGTTGTCGAATGTTCCTTTACAACGGAAGCATGTGCTCCACAATGCAAGGCCCTCGGGCGACGGCGGAATCACTTCCCCCGCGTCGCAGCCGAGCACGGTCATGGCGAAAGTTGCCCAGCAGCGGAAGGCGCTGACTACGCTGGGCCACGTTTTCGGGCAGCTGCCCAGAATCGCGGCGACCCGAGCCGAATTCGACCATTCGCTGAAGCTTCGCTGGGCGAGGCCCTGCCGCAGGGCCTCGACTTCACGGCGGGGGCCCGCGCGCGGCTCGATGGTGCACTGGCGCGCTATGCTGACGGCCAGCTCAAGGTCCCGCACAGCACCGCAAGCCGCCGAAAGCTCATCGCACTTGGCAGCTCGCCGCCTGGCAGGGCGACTGCGGCTGCGGCACTCGCGCTGATGCACGTCGGGTGCAGGCGGAGGTTCGTCCTTTGCGCCGCGCACGACGGCAGATGGCTTCTTCGCTTCGTTAATTAACTCTGACAGCGCTACGCGCAGGGCGTCAGGGCTGACGCCTCGTTCCCCTTCTGCGGCAGACACCGGTTCGAACCAATCGACGCGCGCTAGCTGCAGATCTCTGAGATGCGTTATGTCCTGGCGCCGCAGCAACTCGATCAACGCAAAGGTAACCATGGGTGAAAGCTCTGGCAGGACGCCGCGGACCT